ATTTAATTCATTGTACGGATGAGATTACATTGTGAAATGGCCACGATGTACCACGGATCATGGCAAAATGCTAAGTGGCTTACTGGGTGACACAAACATGAAACAAAATGTTCGATCATGTTGAACGAAATGCACACCGTCACAGTAATCTTTGATAGAAAACAATATGTTAATTATATATGCAAAAATAACACTCTGGATGTATGTGTATTTTCGCATGGTTCGTAACTTATGTTCAATGTTGTAATGGAATATGATAAGTGCCCTGTGTAGGTCACCTCCGAGTCGCTTTTGTTACCGGTACCTGCAAGTTCCATGAACTGTATGACATGGAGCTGTCTTTGTCATGTTGTCCTTGACACAAATTATTATAAATATTGTTGAAACTGATACATTATATAAGTAAAATGGGTTCTCTCAGAATATGTCAATTTCTATTTAAGATTTACCTTTTTTTCACTTTACACCATAATGCGTCCCTTGTAGCCCTGTGTTGGAACTTTTCTGTAAATAACATCTTTTCAACCGTTGACAATTTACGTAATTTGTCGCTCCGATGTAGACTGCATAGTATAGACTAGCAAAAAAAAAAGGACAAGCCAAAATATCCGTCAATTGACGACGGTGGCGTAAAACTATTGACGCAAGACTTAATATTTTATCAAACTCATGACTGCGTGACTGCCATGTAAACACATCATTAACTTCTGCAATGCGATAAACTTTTTATCAAACAAATATTTATTGGGACTAATGTGAAGCGATGATGAGTCGATTAAAATGTCTCGAACATCGTGATAAATAAACCAATGAAATACGTCGCGCCCTCTAGCGACAAACCACTTCTATGACGCAAATAGATGTAGGGGGCGCCATTGAGACGCATCGATATTTTGATCTACTGGTATTATGAACGGCTTTGCTCCACACAACTACGCCATTTTGACGTCGCGGAAGAGTTTCGTCGCTGGAGGCGCGGCTTATTTCAAATACTTATTTTAGAAAGATATAAACACCCTACCTGGGCTGGAATAAGAAGACGTTTCCGGTTGAGAAGCCACCGTAAGCAACCAATTGGCATTCTCTTTTCCCACCCAATGTCAACAAACCAACACAACACTGACGGCTGATGGGAGAGCATAACAAAATTAGACAATACAATCTCCCGTTACGTGATCAAATACAAAAATGCAAACTATCAGAAAATGCTATAATTGCATGAGAAATGAAAATGTAAGAATTAATAATAAAATTACATACCGATTTAGAAGTGTTTGACAATTCCAATACTTTCACTCTGTGCCAAGTATGTGTGACGTCATCACATGCTGTGTACAATCCCCCTACTACAGGCGTAGAATCGGGTCTGTATCTCTCGGACTGGCCTTTCTCATAAAGTGAATTCAGCATAACTTGTAGGCTTCGATACTCGCCCTGATAAGGGGACAAGTCACACTTCAATGTGTTACACTGACTTCGAAATTACCAAAGCAATAAACGTGAACCAGAACAATGTTGAAATAATGATAATAATAATAATAATAATAATAATAGGCCTAAAAAACAGTAACAAAATACTCACCGTGAATATTTTTTGAATTAATCGTATGCAGACTTCAGTTAGTGACTTATAGTGTGTCACGTGGACCTGGGTGAGTTTCTTCTTCGGCAGTTCCGTTTCCGGTAGCTTGTAATATGGGTCCACAAAGTCAGTGTTCAACTCGCGTATGAAAATGGTTTTCTCTGATCGTAGTTTGATCTTAACCATTCTGAATTTTCCCTTAGATAAAATAGTACAAATATTTTGCAAAAATAACTGCAATTTCCCCAGTAAAAACTGTTAAAACTGTTAAACCACAACCAATAGATGGAAAAACGGTAATCGCTTGCCTTACCTTTTTTTTCTTTTTCCTTTCACTAGCAGAATCTGTGTGTTCGGCAAAATCGTTTATTTCATCTTTGAGATGAGTATTACTGCGATCCTGAAATAAAAATTAATAAAAAAATTCAATTCACTCATAATCTCTACGATTTTGACTCAGCTGCACCCGTAATAATCATATTTTTACTATAATAATTACATTTGAAACTAAATGATTTACTGTAGCGCCCTCGCTGGCATGGCAATTCTCCGTTTCACGGTCAGGTGGACCAGTTGTACAATCGGAGAACCGCACACTGGACCGCACAATACCAGTATCACTGTGTCCATGTAAATCAATATCATTTAATAGATCCGTGGAACTAGCGGCGTAAATAATGTCTTCTGGTACAGTCTCGTAAGAACTTATCGAACACTTTAAGGAAAAAAAAATAAAATGACATCAACACGCCGGTGAAAGTATAAGCATTGTAAACGTAGAGAGCGTAGTCTAAGACGTGTCAATTTAGAAACTAATTCGCGATGGCAGTGGAGGTATAAAATGAACAGGTAACACGAACACAATACACCAGAGAGCGCGCGAGGACCCTTGGGATGAACTTTATAATTAAGACTATTAACGTGCTGCTCAGTCTCATGTGTTTAATAGCAATGTTGAAACACCTGTGACAAAAGAACATGATGGAGACCTTGAAATTGCACGTCAAATAATATGCATCATATCATATTTTGACAATGTTATATACTACATCTACTAGTAATTAACAATTCCAAAAAAAACAAACATATTGCTTGTTTCTATGACAACAAGAACCATTAAGCATACACTCAGACGTTGCGTAATTCAATTTCACGCACGTTAGTCCAACTAATTAAGTTAGACTCGTCAATGTGTCAGGACGATTATGCCCATCATGTTGAATGCCGCGCGTCGCACGTGTCACGGCTGGCATTCCGATCTTAAATACTCGTTTAGAAGTTCATATTTCCAGGGTAGTGAACAAAAATGTATAATTCCCACAGATCATGGATGAAACAGTTTAGAAGTTTAAATAGGGAACGCATTGCAGCCAGCTTATAAAGGGGATGAACTATCAAAACAAATAAAAGGCAACTATAAGGTGGTGGGGTAATCAATTAATTATCTACGTCAGACAGTAATAATTACATGAACAAACACGAACGAATAGATATTCCAAATACTAATACCTGTGATTCAGAAATTGTGGCATCAATATCGGATAGACGTCTCTCCGTTGATAGCTCGTCATCACCGGCGACCAACGGTGTCGTACCTACTGACAATGTACCAATGACCGAGTGATCGTTTGAACCTAACTGCTCAAACTGTTGGCAGCTGACTGAATTTAGAGATGGTAATTTGGCGCGTGTCGATTCAGGTATGGCAGCATCGCCGGTTAGGTTGTTTGTAGGCATGGCTTCAACGCCGTCGATCCGACGAGCGGTGATGGACCAACGATCGGATATAATGTCCCATATATGCTTCACTAAGAACCATGAGTAGGCCACAACATGGCGATACATAGTCGTGATAGCCATCGTCGTCGCTATATATGTATCCAAAATAACCATAACGTCAACTACAAATATAATTGTTTGTGTGGAGGAAAACAAAATATCACAATGAAAAATGTGTCACATATGGCGAGCGGTCGCCCCGAACGTGTGACTCCATATCAGGAATGGCTATAGCACATATCTCGCGAGAGGAGCGCGGAGAGAACATGGGGGGTGGGGAGTTGATGCCGACAGGCACTTAACTGTCGACAGTATACACAGACACATATATAAATATGACCGAGCAGGATGAACAATTCCCCAACAGCAAGCACATGTATAGAGTCACCTACGCCGTTCTATACGATGCAACGCCGGCTCGCGTTCGTTATGCGACGGAACAGTCCTGCTTCCATGCATTTTCCGCACATATTATTCCTCACAGAATTCACAGAGCACATCAGAGGCTCGCCATCACTCACTAATAACAACACCCGGTTATTTACCCTGGAATTTGAATGTATTAATAGCATCGATGACGCGTTACCAGTACCCATCTGCATGTCAGATTATAAATAACGTGTTGATGATGTCAGCGAAAACATTATCTTATATGAATATATTAGCATATGGACAGACTGGGGGTGGGACATTATAAATACATGACGTCATCCTAATCTAACATCATACGCGCACATCTTCTATGAATAGCCAGTAAACAAAATGAAATGGGCCTCGTAAATAGCTCGCATACAGCTCAATGAAGTGTTGTCTTTTAGAGATGATAGTCGTCACCACGAGCAACACCGGCGAAGCATGTAAATGCAAGTAAGAGTCACTGATAAACAAAAAATGATCAGGTGCATCACGCCCTCAAGCGACACAAAGGAAATGTATTGGCAGATTTTGACTGGATATTTCAAACTACAATTTTAAAAATATTAACCACTACAGCTAACATATTAAGTTGATGATTCTTGCACGTTTACTTTTGGGTTTTGAGTTTATTTTATGTGACATATTTAAAGCGGGAGGGTCGTCACCTGCGCACGCGCGGGAATTGAGTCCCAAGCGGCGATAACAACACACGCTAAAACGCAAAGGCTCATGGGTAGACGCTTGTTTGTAAATGCTTTAAATGGTGCTACATATATGAACAAAATAAACCTGCAAATGGCCACGTGACTTGTTTTGCCCTGGGGGGGGGGGTCTGCTCGCCACTTCTCGCGCCGAAGGCTAGTCATTACTAGGGATCCAGAGGCATGCTTACCCGGAAACATTTTGAAATCTAGACCCTCTGAAACGCATTTCCTGCATTTTGAGGGGCAAATTTTGCTGACATCTCCAGGAAAGGCTTACTGACCCACGGGTTTCAGCTTGACTGATTTGGGGCACCCCCCCCGTGCCGCCGCCATTGAATGCCAAAATGACTAATTTTGCATTGTTCTAGAAGCGCCCAGAAACATATGTTCAAGTTGTTTCCCTGATTTGGAGCGTGTTTGTATTGTTTTCATTCTTTAAACTGGAGGAGAGTGATGCTGACATAATATAATAGCGATACACCCCCCCCCCCCCATTGAAGTAGAAACTACCACTCGATATTCCTCAATTCATTCCGAACAGCCAATTGCCCACGGCTCGTACAGACGGCGATGTACTGTACATGATACGTGCTAGGTAATGTAGATATAGCATCTGTGACTTGATGAGTACGTGCTTTTTTTGATGATGACGATGAAGCTCTATATCCTGGTCATGGAGGTAAGAATAGTAGCTATTGTTCTGATTGACGTTGACGCCATACAACACAAATTCAGGACCGTGACAAGTTACCCACTGTATGGATTACTGGTTTGGCATCAAAAGCCTGACATATACAGTGACTCAAAACAATGAGAACCAAACCATTTTTTAATCGAGTATAAAATGACATTGGTCACAAGCTTCCGCTATGGCACAGTGCCTCTATATGAACTAAAGAAAATCATTGTTTGTAGTTGCCTGTTGTTTAAAACGAGTTTGTCGCAGAGGGCGCTACTCTTACAGTAGTATTGTGTGTGACTGTCCGACCGCGATTACAATAAAAAACCGACAATACCACGCAACGCAACGCAACGCAACGCAACGCGGTGTAACGCAGCGTTAAGCGAAACGATAATGAATCATTCGAAATGTTTTAGTTTTGTGTGACCCTCGATGAATAATGAGAATATTCAAATGAAAGCACGGCATATCGGTGTTATACATCGTTACGATTGTCTACAGTACTGCGACTGTAGGCGCCTCCTGATGCGCGGCCTTCGCCATGATTGGCCTGATAATCTGGTGCAATCTCGTTTGAAACAGCGCCCTCTGTTACAAACACTTTTACTAGTATCTCCTTTGCTCCATAACCGATGCGTATAGCAGTGTGGCAGTGACACACATTCAATCACGCTATTTCTACGTTTATATTCTTAACCATGGTGTTGTGGATTCACACGTTGTGGCACGTATTCGTCTTATTGCTCATAAGCACATTAGGTGAGTATTATTTTTTTTATTTACTAGTCATTATTAGTATTTTTTGTGAAAATACTCACGAATCAGTCTTACAGTATATTTACTGAAAAATATTTAAGTTAGTGTTTGAATTTGTGTAGTTGTCAATTTCCTTCTCAAAAGCAATTTTATGCCATGCATTTCGAATAGTCAAAGTGGTAGATTTCATTAGTATTTTTGTGATTAAATAAGAAACATTGTGACGAATAACATTCATCTGTTATTATTATTACTATTCAAATTCTTCACGCAGGTGTTTATTTCTCAAATTCAAACTAATTATTTATTTATTTACCTTGCTTAAATGAGACATTGCATGACGTCACATCCGATATAAACAAAGCACATTTCCTGTTTTCACTGTGAAGTATTCTGGTTTCGGAACTGAAAATTAGATTAGGATTTCCCGCGTTTTAATTGACTTTCTAAGCAGAGAATTCATACCCGCCAGATTACCAGCTAGAATATACGTAGTTAATACCATGTTATAGTTGTGCTATAAGTTTAATATTTGAGGACAAAAAAGTAGTGATAATAATAACAATAATTCACAATAGTTAATAAACGAACGTAATATTTATTTTTGAACACTGTGGTAATAGCAAGTTTAGTTTTAAAATACTGATCGCTGACATTTATTATGCATGCGGTCGTCTGCCCATATAAATACAATAATTTCCCTTCTCTGCCCGCCTCGAGGTATCGCTTGATTAATATCCTTCAAATATAACCAAGAATTCGGGGTCACAGATATCTCAAAATATATCCCATTTGTGTCAAATTGCGATTAAAAAATTCTGGTTTACCGTTACCTAATATGTAACCACAACAACAACAGATTAATTAATGAATAAAGGTAACACATTCGTGGAAATGAAAATTATTATTATGTACGCATAGTTATCGTCAAAATAACAACATAACTGTATATTCTAAAATAGAGACCATATCATGTTAGAATAATGCAGCCCAACATGAATTACTTTTAATCATGATTTAACATTTTAGCAAAACAAAAAAGGGACTAATATATAACACATGAATTATTACAAATATTACTATTTATAATTATAAATAAAGTACTTTAGTGTTATCGCTAGTTTTGTGAAACTATTGAAAATATGTTTGATATGCAATCATAGGTAACACGTCGCTGATTGAATTAATCGCTTCCTCCCTCGATTCCATACTGGTTTCACTGGGGGGGGGGGTGCCCTGTACCAGGTCGGCGAATGGCGCTTGCTATATGGTCAGAGCGTTTCCAGAAAACTGTATTTTGTATACGTCATATTGTCAATAGATGTAATACTAAGATACAGATTGGCCTCTGTTTTCATCACAGCCTGGTTGATAACACCAGAGTATACACCTTCTCCTATAGTGCGCCCTCTAGCAGCAACGCCTTACAGTAACTAGAAAACCGTTCACATCGTCCATATTGTTTTGATCTGTAGTGGTCAATAAAACTTTACGCTTTTGAAAGATTTACGTAACGATCACCACACAACCAAACACAATTGTCGCTTCGAATGACAATGATTTCACCTACGCCATGCTTGACGTCACAACAGTGCTTCGTCGCCAGAGGGCGTACTATATAAGAAAATTGTATTCCTTTTTGTACATTTTACCAAAATCGTCTGGAGTAGCAAATTTCAAAATCTGTCAACCTAGACACCAGCTCTTTCTGACTGCGAGTCCCAATGTACATGCCTACGATCAAATATAAGGTCCAGTACAGATCTGTACATGAAAAAGTTAACTGACAACATTATAAGAATCTTTGAGATGGAAAGTGATGTTAATTATAACATGTTAATAATTATTTCTCTGGTTTCTATAGTTGACATGTCTGTAAAACATGAATCCGTGGAAGAATCAAGACTAATATGGAGCGGTGTTAGATCTCACTTGGGACAGGTACTGGAATCTACTATAAAATCCGCCGATGGGGGCGGTGAATCGCTTTATCAACATATCCAAACTAGAAATGTTAGCTTACAAATCGATACCATTCTGTCGGAGATCGCAGGATTTAAAGGACCGATGACGTTTGACTACAGAAAATCGTTGCTTTTTTGGGCCGACACAGTCGGCAAGAAGATTTTCAAAATGGCGCTTTTGTCTGGTGACGTCATCGAAATCTATGATGGTACATCCAATGACGTGAGCGGGATCGCCGCTGATTGGGTATCAGGAAACATCTACTGGTGCGACGCGGCATATGATTGGATAATGATATCTGATTATGGCGGCAATTACCATAGGACGGTTCAATCAACTGGACTGGATGAGCCTGGTGACATAGTCGTGGACCCAGCCAGAGGGTGAGTATCATGCGTTGTTGTTTCAGCGCCGCTGTTTGTGTGAACTGTAACAACTACTCATAGCTGTAAATTGCGTAAAACTTGTTTTTTACAAACAGGAAATTATATTGGAGTGACTGGGAGAAAAATCCGAGGATAGAATATTCTAATTTGATGGGCGGTGAAAGAAGTATTTTTGTTGGCGGCTACGACGATTTCGGCAGTCCTCACGGTCTTGCGATCGATTACGTCGAAAACAGGTTAATTTCCAAAATATAATTGTCATTCTTTAAAAGATCGGAATCTTTCGTCCCTTGAGTACTAAGTTATTATAAAAACTATTATTATTATTATTATTATTATTATTATTATTATTATTATTATTATTATTATTATTATTATTATTATTATTATTATTATTATTATTGTCAGATTATTAACACCCACTTTTTTCTAGACTATATTGGTCAGATGTGGCTCATGAAGCTATATTTAATATTGACCTTGACGATCCCGGACCCAATCGTGATATCATAATTGTACTTCAAAGCAGCACACTATTATTTTATCCGTTTCACATTGACCTGGATTCGGTAAATACGTTTTATCTAACTATTCGCAAACTACAATCGTTAAAGTGAGCGACGTCACCTGCGTATGCGGCACACGTCCATAGCGAGTCATTGTTTACAAACAAAAATATACCCATGAACCTTTGCGTTTTAGCATGCGTTGTTATCGTTGCGCATGCGCAGGGGACAGCCCCTCCGCTTTAACCTATTTTATTCCACCGAATATTCATGATTTGTACTATGTAAAAAAAGTGTTCCAACTTTATCGTCTGCTACCAATGATGACCATTAAAGCCTTCAAAATTACACACAGAAAAATGTGATTTTTGTCACAGAAACGTTGAACACCTGAATAAATTTCAAGTCCGTTGTAATGTTAATGTTTGGAGCACATTGTTCACAAATTTCACTGGTTGTAATTGGTAGATCTACCAAAAGTCTACCAGGGATGTACATATTTCCAACGTTCCTATTAATAATATACACTAATAATAATTGTCTCCAAGCATGCAATGTTCACTTACTTTGTAAACAGAGTAGGTTTTTTTTTCCGGTTTCACAAAATGTTGTAGCTACTTTGTTATGAGTTGTGATAGCTGTGTTTATAATTATTACATTACATAGTATTTATTTGGTAAAATGAAAATAAATCCGGATATTTCCCTTCGTCAGTCATGACGTTTTCAGTTAGTGATAATTGTTTGTATGCATATTTTGTAGGAATTTATATTTATAAGCGAATTTCAATATAATGAAATTATTATATTACCAAAGAATTCCACGGTGATGATTGGTAACGTAACAAAAATACTGGAACCGATCTCGTTCTCTACAGGATTCTCGGCTCCCATAGGGGTGGTGTTCTATAGCATAACGAGACAACCATCTCACAACAGTAAGTCCCATTGCAATCCTATCTTGCGTTTTGATGGATGTAGCATTTATAGTGGCGTGTATGAATAATTTGATAAATTATTAATAATGATTACAAAAACCAGGCTAGAACGTCACGGCATACATTCCCGTTCCTCATTCAGTGACCCTTGACTCTTGACATGACCCTGATCATCTATAATCTTTAACATTTGATATTTAGGTTCGTGTCTTTATGACAACGGGGGATGTGATCACCTGTGCATAACAGATCCCATAGAAACTGCCTGTCAGTGTAACCATGGACACGCACTAGGGGATGATGGTGTATCATGCAATGAAGGTATGAAACAAATCTCAATATTAGTATCATAAGATAAATAGTTTGAATCAAATATGGATGAAAACATGTATATTTTACTTGCAGTACTTGCATGTCGATGAACACATTGGATTATGAGTTTTCGTAAATTACAAAAAGTTGTTTTTGGCGCACACAGAATAATATTCGTACGATGGCAAATGAGTGAAAACAATTCTAATACGCATGTGTACCCGGATGTTGCTTATATCTACTAAAACGATCGAAGATTCATTCACCGTTTTACCACCATAATACAATGAACCCATTAGCCATGTTGATACATGCAGTATGTATCACATTATCTCATTTTTACTGTATTACAAAACACATAGCATTAGGGTCATTCGAATAGGTGATTTTCCAAACAATTGCGAGATCTCGCGAGATGCATGAAAGACGCGCGTCGAACGTCTGCCGCAAAAATCGAACGATTTGATTTTGAACTAGAATTTCTTTATTTCGCAGCTTACATTGACCGGCTGATCTTCGACAGAGGAATATTGCTTCCGAATACCCTCACTTAATCGAAATTGCCTATCATCAAATGTGGACAGCACATTATTAAGCATGGAAATGTCCCCGAAATACTTTCGCGTTTGTCGAATCCCACGCGATGTTTGACGCGACTACGACGCTATGACCTTTGTTTGTCCTGTTTTTACGTTCGATTTCACGCATAACGCGTGGTTCTCGCAGTGAACGGAAAATGGTCTATTGATAAATATGCATAGTTTGGATATTTGAATTAATAGTACATCAGTAATTCAATATGCATAAACATTTTCGTATTATAATATTAAAAGAAGACTAGTTCATCTCAAGATAAATCCTAATCCATCGTACTTCTAACAAGTCTGTATTGATAAAAGTGGTTACTGTTTTTACTAGACAATCACCTCACACCGGGAGACTATATCCTTCTTGCTGACTCCTCCGATATAAGTGTTATGCCTGTTAACGTCGGCGATATCAACGACCTCAGCGTTTCCATGCTGCCCATAGCTCATCTGTATGTGACGTCAATGGATTACGATCACAACCAAGATATGTTGTATGTTTATCACCCTGGCAACAGGGGCATCTGGCGAACGGTTCTCAGAGACGACGAACATTTTGAAAATGTCCACCAGAATGTCGGAGATGTTGGAGGTAACGTTTAATGCAAAACACGCAATATTTATTTTATTTATGTATTTCTAAATTCTTGACATTTATGGATATTCAGTTATGTTGCGTCACTTCTCATTTCGTGACACTTTAGGACATCGTTTATTGTATATACACACAGAAAAACCCTTCCCGAGCCAGCGCGCCACCGTTGGGCACCCCTAAATAATATTATATCAAACATGCACGTAATGATACCTTTTCACTATATTTGTATTTGCAGGTATTGCGATCGATTGGTTGGCGTCTAACCTGTATTGGACTGATGTAGATCACTCGGTGATAATGATTTCAAAGTTAGATGGAATGTTTGCAATTACTCTGGTGTCTACGGACATTCACAAACCACGCGCGATTGTCGTGCACCCCCACCAGCGGTGAGAAAATTTGCGAGCGAGTGATGGTCGAAAAAACTGTGGTCAAATAATTTGTTTTTCTTCACTCTTGTTTAGAATGATGTAAAACATGGTGATAATTTCGTTATGTTAATTTCCCTGCTGGATTGTTTCCCATATTTTTCTGCGTGCAGATTATTTCACAAATTGTCCCCCTCGAGTTTCTAATACATGTAGTTATAACTCTTCATCAAAATTAAAATACGAAGAAAGACAACAACGCTCACGTCATGCTTTCTCTGACACTGTTTCTATGCGTAACCATGGTGTGTAAACGTTTGTAATTGTGCGTGTGCTATGAATTGGAGACTACTACAAAATTTGTTATGTTTTTTGTTCAGGTATTTGATTTGGTCTGATATAGGCATGTTCCCGAAGATTGAACGAACCTCGCTTTCTGGAAAAGAACGAATGTCTCTGGTGGACTTTAATATTCTACGACCGGTGGCCATGGCACTGGACTACAGTAATGACATGTAGGTAGTATATCACGTACATACGTGCAGAAACCCAATGCATTGGTCACAATACTTGCCTAACTTGGCGATACATCTAGAATTGATCGGTCAATACACATATTTCCTCGATTTACAAGGCACTCGCGACGTCAAAATGACGTCACGAACTTGCATGTCGCGGAATGCTGTCTGAACATTGATATATGCCTTGGTGTCACGGTGTCATTTGTTTGCAAAAGAACGGCAGAAATGTCAGTGTTGTAGAATTGCGCGTATACGAGGCCCTGAAAAAAATTGAATTAATTGCTTAAAAAATTGCTTAAACTAATTCTCACAAGAAACTTCTTATTAATAACGTAATGTTGATGCTGTCATTTTCCATGTTCTCCCATTCATTGTAACCCAATATTTTTTGACAGACTCTTCTGGGCGGATGAAACCCGCGGAACAATCGAATCCATTACGATTACAGGCAGCGCTCGCACTGTGATTGACTCGAGTAACTCAGTCAGAACGATTGGCGGTCTAGCAGTGTTCCAGGTAACATTATAACGCGGTAACAGCACTGGTCACGTGATATTCTAATTTGTAATCCTACATAGTGCTCGGAACATATTGTAACCATTGTTTTGATTTTACGTACTTTAACAGCGTGTTACTTGCCCAAAAACCGCACGATTCTGTTAGGGCCATTGACAAATATGAACATCATGATTCAGTGCTACATTCTGAGACTGGGCATATACGGAATTACAAACATGTTAGTTTGGCACCGACCTATTAAATATATCGAATAAATCATGGGGTTAATTGGGTGAATCGTTAGAACGAAACAATGCATAATTGGAGTGAAGTCCAAGATGAGGGTTACTTTACATTGATACAGTGTAACTTTCTCAAGAACAATTAGTCAAATTTCAGCAAGCATGTTCCGATTCCAAACGTATCGCAATTTTCTCTGAGAATTGGCCATATAACACACCTATGGATTATAAATCTAGGTCAATATTTAGGCGAAAAACACTCTTTTTCAAAGTATAGATGAATGAGTGTAATATTATCACTATCGTATTTCTATGTTTCAATGATTAGTACATTAAAATGTAAAAACTAATATACAGTGTCTTTCCCACAGTGCGATTCCCACCACTTGGTCTTTTCATCAGACGTACCATTATGGACTTTACAAATACTGTACACTTTTGTATTGACCAGGCGCTTTTGTGACGTCAAAATAAAGTACATGAATGAGAGCAATGTGTTTTTTTAAATAATTAAAATTAGATTATAGGGTATCTTTAAAAAAAAAACGGTATTTTTATTCACAGACGACACACATCAAAACACTATCAGCGGCGTCCATTGCACCCATATACGCCAGTGAAGCGTCTCGTTGTCAGAGGGCGCAACTTTCTGTAAAATACTTTATTTTAATTTGAATTAAATTAAAAAGACATTTTAGCTGTTTTATATGACATTCATTTTCACCGAATTTCGATGAGTTTAAACATGGGGAAAACATTATTTCACTGGATTTTATTTTCACTGTTAGTGACAAAAGTGGAAAAAAAGTATATTTACACTATATGTGAATGATTTCTTTCTTAATTAGTTCATTATGTGTTGTTCTAAATAGGATATTCTAATCTGGACAGAGACAGATAACCTTGCCTTGGAAATAATAGATTTTGATTCGGGACAACACAAACAAAGAATTACAACGCCTGACCCCCCTGGACCAATCACGGTGTTTGCAAATAGTCGTCAACAGACGGCCGCAGGTGAGTATCGACATTAATTTTTGTTTCAACTATATCCTGTGTTTCATATATACGACTCTTAAGATAAATTGGTAACACGTCAAACACGCATTCTAATATATGTATTCCGTCATATAAACGATGTATTATGGCGGAAAAGATATATGATGAATTCGATTGTAATTTTGGAGGCTTTAATGGTCATTGGTAGCAGACGATAAAAGTGCAACACGTTTTTTACATAGTACAAATCATGAATATTCGGTGGAATATTAAAAATAGGTTAAAGCGGAGGGGTCGTCGCCTGCGCATGCGCGGGAATTGACTCCCAATCGACGATTACAACTCAAACTGAACACGCAAATGCTCATGGGTAGACGCTTGTTTGTAAAACAATGACACGCCATGGCCGTCTGTCGCATGCGCAGATGACGACTCCCCCGCTTTAAATAAATATCAGTTGATTCAATCTTGTCTTAGAAGTCGCTGTTATAAACATAAACTTTCACACTAAAACCCGATATGGAACTGGGTTCCCCAATATCACCGTCTTTCCATCAGTTTTTCCTGAATCCTTATTTAGTTTAATTGAAACTCGTCATTCAGTTATATATTCTTAATATGTAATATGTTCTTTTTACGCGGCGCTCTGGTGAATAAATACTTCGTAAATAATGAGGACTTGAACTTAACTGACATTACATTGGTTACTTTAAGCAGGGCCTTGTGATATCGAAAATGGAGGTTGTTCTGAAATATGTATTCCTTTGAAGACAGACAAAGAATGTCTGTGCAGTTCGCACGCTGAGTCGTCCTGTATTTCTGGTTAGTGTCTCTTGAAAATTAAGTCACAGTGTTTTTTATGCATGAACATTCGAGTTTGGAGACCAGTCATGTCATTGTGCGTTTTCCTCTCAGATAAAATAATCTATACCCCTCTTTTCACAGATGAACGATGCCAATTAACATTTCCTCATGGCCGGATGGAAGAAGCATGCGATAATTCGCTTGGAGGGGTATGTAGATTCGTATGCGAGAATGAATTCTACGCTGCACATTCCGGAACAGTCACGTGCCTAACTGATGCACAATGGGATATGGACGTCGATGATCTGTGTGTATTTGGTAAGCCCAAAATCATTATCAATCGTAATTGATCAAAACAGTATCTCAATATATCACCTCATCTGTAAGTGGCGCCCTCTAGTGACGAAATAATTTCTGTGAAGTCAAAATGACGTAGGTGGGTGAAAGCAATATCTCACAGAGTGTGTAGTCATTTAGAATGTAGAAAGATTTCAAAATAATTAATTTGTATTGACGGGTGAATATAGATCAAAACATTCTGGACGCTCTGAACAATTTACGTCACGGATGCGCTTCAACGCTAGATGGCGCAGTTACTAGTAATTGAAAAGGTGTGTTCCAGGATTTTTGCTAAACAGCAATTATCTCACGTGGTTATCTCAACAGATATTGCGCTTGACGACTTTTTGTTGATTGTCGCGAAAGATGGTATTCACTATATCGATCTAACATCACCCGAGCACGACGTGCTGCCTCTACGCGATGTACAATATCCACTAGGTGTGGAGTTCGACAGCCATACTGACACGCTGTATTGGACTGATATATCGCTACGTGCGATAGCAAAGACACGCCTTGACGGCAGTCAGTCTGAAATAATAATAGACCAAGATATAATGTGTAAGTAACTCTCTCTATACAGTATGCGAAAAGTTGGTTGTCACTCGCATATACTCGAGCATCTCTACCAAAGCTCTGTCACCGTCAGGGGGCCCCTGGAAAATAGACCAAACATGATTTCAAGTACTTTGTTACTGCACACCTTCATAGACCGCTGCTCTCAATAATTTTTGTGTGTGAAAGCTACAAGAAATATAATGGATGTATTGCGACTGGTGTGAGAGATTTTTCTTTTACTAACAAGAAACGTCAACAAATGTTTGATATCAGATTGATTGATTCACAGATCCTGATGGCATCGCAATTGACACTGAAAACGAGATGTTATACTGGGCTGATTCCGAAGTAGATCGAATAGAATCAGCCAGCTATGATGGCAGTAACAGACGACCTCTCGTGGTGTACGATATGGATGAACCGAGAGCGTTGATACTCCACCAAACACAGCAGTACGAACAATGTTCTTATTTCTCAACATAATACCACATCTTTCGTTCGGTTGTTCTTTCGTTCATCGGTTATGGCAGGTTCATACTGAACTGAGCACACTATTGGCCACGCAAAATGGTATTCGGACGTTTGATGTAATCAATCAACTTTAACCTTAATGCGCATATGCTTTGAATAATTTGCACGTACCATTAACTTCGAAGCGCATGCGCATGCGTGTATTTAGCTTTTGATATCGACGAATATTATTCTGCGTGATCAATACGGTATCGATCATTACATTCTGAATCTCCACTAAATCTACATATTTATATATAAGTATATTTTCGGGACGTTTTCGGTTGAATTTGGTACGGATTGATGGAACTTGTGTCGCTTATGATTTTTAAATAGTATAGTTGTGTTTAATGTTCGTCGATGGTTGTCCTGTTGAGTGACATAGCTGTTTAACGTGACTCCGATCACATTTTCACCATATGATTAGTCCCAAATATCCCTGTCAAGACGTATTCGATTATCGTTGGGCGTGCACGGGTGAAATTATTTACAACAAATTGTACATTTGCCGTCAATTTATTTGACTTTACCACTGGCATAATGTTTTCCTCCAGAGTCCTGTATTGGAGCGACTGGGGAAAAGATCCTAGAATCGAAGCTTGTCACGTTGACGGTACTAACAGAAGAATCATAGTCCAAGACGATTTAGGAATGCCACTCGGGCTGGCATTTGATACATTAGGTAATGTTACTCTTACTGATATTTCAGATTATTTCAAAAAGTATATATATATATATATATATATATATATATATATATATATATATATATATATATTAAATAAAAGCTCTTACGAGACTGATGTCGTGGACAGAAAGTATTTCCCATTGTGTTTTCGTTGTTTAAACTTTTGTGAAATTGAACATATTTAATCTCGGAATTGAAACACGCTTCTCCACAAAACACAACGTAGTAGCAGTTCTGTCTGAGAGAAAGTTGTAACTAAGCTACCCCTTAGCTTGCATCTATCTGGTTGCAGACCAACACATACTTTTATGAAAGAAAAAACGTGATTCTAAGAGCCATATTAAAGAACATCACATAAAGTCATAAAGTACGTGTTCGAATTTAGTGTAAATAGACCACGCATTTTACACACGTCGTAAACGTCGCATGGAACCCACATTACACACCTCGAGGCGCGATGAATTAGGTGCTTCAAAATTAACGCTTTTCTTTCAGACGAAGATATCCCGGCATGCATCAACTAACGATCTTTTGACTGATGTTTATTTTTCATTAAATTCCAGAGGAGAAATTATACTGGTGCGATAGCTCACGTCACGTGATCGAATCATGCAACTTGGATGGCAGCGGAAGACAAGCTGTTTTCGACATCGCTGCTGATTCTAGTTGTTACGGTTTAGTGGTGACTGATACCTATGTTTACTGGACTGATTTTATCAGTGGTGCCGTTCATGAAATCAACCGACATACCCACGAAGATAGTAACCTAGTAATGGAAGGATTCCACATGGATTCTCCGAAAGATGTTAAAAGATACACACAACTTAGTAGTAAGTTTATGTATTCTAAAACGCTGAGGTCGTTCTATGTCTCGAATTTTAAAACTAGTCCTAGCAGCATGTACTTGTTTCTCTCTTTCAATCAACCCTCTGAGTATAATGCATAGCGAATGTGTCATTTGCATTTTTATCAGAATATGGTAAACCCATTTTTGTTTTTTAATCGAGGATTTCAACACCAGTCCGCCAAATGTTCCGCTCACCATCCAAGCGCTGATCGGTGATTTCTATACACTGAACACCGACGTCTTTGAATTATCGCAGTTAATCACAGCGTTCACTGAGAATTGTCTTGTTTGTTACCAAAACATTTACAATTATGATATAATATGGATTTTGTTCGTCTTCTGACACGCATTCGTTCTTTTAAAGTAATCATGACATATTGAACCACATAAATGCGCATGCGCTTTGTATAAAGTGTACGTACAAATCACTTAAATGTGCATTTATTTCACATGCAGCCATTTAAGATGAATTCTATTGGAACTGTTCAGAATGCAACAAAAACTATCCGTTTCTTAATGAAATAAATTGTTTAAACCAAACTAAACTAAACCCCACTTCATTTCACAGTACTAACCACGATGTCGGCTGAACCCACCACTGACGTCACTGCTTCTAATAATACATACTTGAATATTTCCGGGGATATTAGAAGATTTACATATCCATCAAACTCCCAGTCGATGACCATTATTGGCGTTGTGGTTGGTATTGTCGCCCTCATTCTCGTCGTCGGTGGCGTAGTTTTGATATTCATTTCATTCAGGTAAGTCGAAAACATGGAGTTATTAGTATTGGTATTGGTACTGGTATTGGTATTCTAAAGCGAATTTCATTACATACAGATTTCAAATTAACAGCTCTCTGTAATGAAATTCCTGTATTCACACTCGTCATTTATCTAACTAACTTCTTATTGGTGCGAAACTCCTTTTTACAAAAGCCATGAGGGATGTTGTATTTAGTTTACACTGCCCAGTAATCTTTTTTTGTTTGCGCCATTCCACTGCAAACAGGAAGCTAACTCTTCGTGTAAGTTTAATGTATCTTATACTGGAATGCACATTAAAATATCATTCGAATAATGAGTCTGTCTATGAATAGAATACGTACTAACTCGTGACAATAAATATCGTTTTATTTTCTCATAATTATGTTTTACAAAGAACATAGTCTTACAGACGGGATTAGTACAGATACATTTTTTCCACTTATTTGATCGTGTGTTACGAGTCGTTTTAAAGTAGATTGTAGAATTTCGCAAAAGTCACAATGACATTGTTGATAACGTATGGAACATATTACGCTTCCCGAATATTGTCCGAGTTGATGTCATTATACAGGTACAATGCACTCCTCATATACTCGCTACTATGATATCCCCAAAGCACAAATCAACAAATGAGACATTGTGTTTGTCGACTGGTAATTATATTTAAAAACGAAACAAAACATCCACATTAATTATTAAATGGTTCATCGTTTTGTTTTTAATCTTTTTTTCAACACAATTCAGGAAACAGAGCGTGCTGTTAAAGAATTGTTTTGGTAACAATGTAACGGAAACAGAACTGGAACTTGAAGTTCCAAAGCCAATTTACAACGAAGTTGAATTCGAGATAAATCGGAATGGTGCAACGAGAAACCCCATTTACAGTGAAAATGGTAGTATGTCGGATCCACCAGATCACGTGCTTATTCCTGTTGACTCACGGGATATTCAAATAGTACAAACCCATATTTAGAAGAATTGTATTTGTATGTCGATATTCACACTGGATTACGATATATCGGTTTGTTTGGTATTGTATATCGATATTCACACTGGATTACGATATATCGGTTTGTTTGGTATTGTATGTCGATATTCACACTGGATTACGATATATCGGTTTGTTTGGTATTGTATGTCGATATTCACACTGGATTACGATATATCGGTTTGTTTGGTATTGTATGTCGATATTCACACTGGATTACGATATATCGGTTTGTTTGGTATTGTATGTCGATATTCACACTGGATTACGATATATCGGTTTGTTTGATATTGTATGTCGATATTCACACTGGATTACGATATATCGGTTTGTTTGGTATTGTATGTCGATATTCACACTGGATTACGATATATCGGTTTGTTTGGTATTGTATGTCGATATTCACACTGGATTACGATATATCGGTTTGTTTGATATTGTATGTCGATATTCACACTGGATTACGATATATCGTTTTGTTTAGTATTGTATGTCGATATTCACACTGGATTAGGATATATCGTTTTGTTTGGTATTGTATGTCGATATTCACACTGGATTAACATATATCGTTTTGTTTGGTATTGTATGTCGCTATTCACATTGCATTGGTATATGTTATTGTATTCATTCGAGTTTTCTGTACGTATTAGAAATTCAAAACGCATGTCTAATTGCAATGTTTTGTAAAGTATGTCATAACATAGTTTGCTATATCAATATTTTTTTTCTAAATAATCAAATTTATGACATGTATATTTATTTCCGCGATTCTAATCTTGTAAATGTAGGGAATCATTACTTATATTTCGTGTTCTGGCTTTTATAAATTATTCTTGATTTTCAACTTCCACGGCGTTAGTACTCACTGCCACCTTTATTTACGGGTTGGATGGCGACACGCGATAACGACGCCTTTATATATAAATCTTCATACGTTTGTTGTAGTATGTATACTCAAATGAAAAGTCAACGTCGTCTGCGTTTAACCCATTCAATTTTTCCAGCGAAAATTTCGGTACAACAATTTTCACAAATTCTTGTATTATCTTTTGGTATTTTTTGAACAAATGAACATACTTTCTTGTTACATTATGCTTTTGAAATTTCGGGGAAAAATTGTACAGGTTCATTTTGTGAATGTGACAAAAGTTTACACCGAGCCGTTATCATAGTACGCTATAGGTACTATTGCAATACGTATTTGTTACGCTTTCCATTTATCCTTTCATTTATTGTCCGAGACTTTCAAGTGGTACTAATTTTCTCCAAATGAATGAACTGAACTGTATAAGTAGCAATATATACATACAGTCCTTGTTCATTCGGTGAATAATAAATCATGTATTAAATTCTATAATAAACTGAAGCGTGCATTGTTCTCCCGTGTGTCAGTCTGATCAGCGATACGTATGCGACCAAGCACAGAAATTACCAACAATTACCAATTAGAATTTCGCACACAAAAAAAGAAATTTCGTCCAGATGGAAATAATAATTACTTTCACAAACCATTGTGCCGTCAGTTTACTGGTATTTTGACTGTAATCGTATAATATATTGGATCTCAAGTACAGTCGCTGCAATACGGAATAACTGTGAGTGACCAGGCATTGAACTTGTATGTTGCACATGGCTCGTACATGCGCGTAGTAACAAATACGACTCAGGCTGTGACGGCGTTGTTGACGACACAGATTATTAACCGTTTCGTTTTGGGAACTACATTTACTTGTATGCAAAGCGATAGGTCTATACAATCCATTGAATCCCGTTGTTCTAGTGGTACTATGAGGTGAAAACATTGCCTTTTGTTAAGCTACTTTGCATGAGAAATAAACACATAGCATACTAAAAAGTTCGTCGTTTGCGACCGTGTCTCGTATGTATGCGTCGGCCGGGTACCAATTGTTAATGAATGGTTGACCACGCCATGATATAAACTGATTCCGTATTATTGGCAATTATCACCACCGTACAGAGCCATCGACAACAATGGACAGAAGTATAGTAATAACCACACTGCTAATAGCACAGTTTATGACAGGTATGTAGAGATGACGTTGACCATTTCAGTTGTTGCCCCCCCTCTCTCCAATGTAACCCGATTCGTTGGTTCTTACACGTAGCACAAACACTTCTTCTTTTTTCCATTGGGTTTCGCTTCCTAATTTGCGTCTTAAAAAGATGTACAAGGAAAACAACATGGAGGAACTCTGCTTGGAAAGTCAAGTGTGAGCCTCTGACTAGCGTTGACCTTGTTCTCGCCTGGGATATCAATTGCCACTGAATATGCTAATTACAACGCCAGATTCGATTACAGGGTGTCAACGTCTTCTACTATGTTTTTATTATTTGCAACTTGGACTGGGCAAAGACACTAGTGTCTTTGGACTGGGGTAGGCTAAGCGAATTCACCGTGCATGGCCTTGAAAACCCCGCGGTAGCAGTAACAAATTAAAAACCGTGTACGTTGTGACTTGTGTAATATTACGCCTTACAGTTTTAACATGCGTCGCATTTGTGCAAGTTGGCACACATCCCAGACAAACGATTTACTCACGACGCACCTATTATTCCAGGGGAAAGAAAAGCACACCAATTCGTACGTAGAAAAACAACATTATAATCTGAAATGAGTTTATTATATTAATTATATCTATTTCACACCGGCGAAGGGTTGTTTGGTGGCGATTTCAGTTTTATTGCCATGGCGATGAAGGATATTACGTCAATTTCAGCAACCGATACACTGTAAGGTCCCAGCAAGTGCCCACAGTACACTCGATGTGTTTGGCTGTTGTCCGGGGTGTTACGGTTATAGGATAAAGCAAGTGGCCTTGGTGCCAGTCAACACACGTGTAAACACTGGAACTCTTGAATAATGGCCGAAGGCCTTATAGTCACTCAATACGAGTAAATGAGGCACCTGAACAGCGGCTGAACGATGTAGTCTTAGAGTCACTCAGCGCTAGTAAATACTGGAACACTTGAAAACAATGGCTGAACTACGGCAATCGAGGTGGCTCACAACATGGCATTTTATAATTTCTTTACAATTCATTTACATTTTGAAAATTTATTTTTATGTTATAACCCTTTTCAATAAGGATCTCTAGTAGCCTCGTGGTGCAAGGTCAGAAGGCGAGGTCACAGGTCAAAAAGCGAAAATGAAAATAGATTTTGAAATTGAAAGCTGAAATGATATTGAAAACACAAATCGAATATCGAATCGAAATGAGAATCTCATTGAAAATAATTAATTATGTTAAACTTAATGCGATACGCGGAAAACAACAGTGATTTTTTGAATTCAGATGGAAAATTTGCTTCAAAGTGAAAAATACATATACATGTATACCTATAGTTCAAAGGTCAACAAACACAAATATGGATTTTAAGAATGAAAATGGATTTTAAAAATGAAAACATATTTTAAAAATGAAAATGGATTTAAAATAATGAAAATTCAGTTTAAAAACAAAAATGGATTTTAAGAATGAAAGTGGATTTTAAAAATGAAAATGGATTTTAAAATGAAAATGGATTTTAAAAACGAAAATGGATTTAAACAATTGGTTTTCAAAATAAAAACTGATGTGTCTCAGAAACGTAAGTGAATTTTAAAAATCGATTTCAGAACCGGAAATGGTTATTAAAAAGGGATTATAAAATAAAGATGAATTTTGAAAATGTAAATGAATTGCAAACAAACTGTTTTATAAAATGCCATGTTGTGAGCCTCCACGGTTGCCGTACTGAAGGCGGTACCCTTATAGTCACTTAGCACTAGTAAAACCTGATGCACGTGAAAACTACCCTCTCATTCATTGCCATTTTAGCAAATTAAACCCTGAACATACACCACTCTCTTCTTTTGAGCTTCCCTTAAAAAGTGATTTCTGTAGCCGGATTATACATTTTAATAGAGCTGCTACATTGATTATTTTTAATGATTTCGATGATCGATAAAAAGATATGCGAGAATCTACAGGTGTCATATAAATAGAACATTTCATATCTGTGCCTTATTAATTATTTAACAATGTGCAAAGGTAGTCTTCGTAGAAATCAGGCTGGGCAGAATTCTGATACCTATACTAGTATTCAAAATTCTCCAATTTTTCGAGATTGTTAGACAATTTTTGAATAGTTTTATTATAGGAATGGATCTATATAATTGTATCTCATGGATCATTTGGAAAAAGACAAATGCAACAGGACCATCAATTACCAAATACTGACCGATTTTATGAGCCATGCAGTTTACATGTATAATTGTTATGCAATGGATTTACTATGTACATATGTATTTGGGTTAAAAACAACACAACACAGCGACAGGTTATTACACCGCATCACTCATGAACAAAAGCTTCACATTTCAGTGATAGACAGTGTAATAGTCATACATGTAAACTGTATGGCTCATAAAGTCGACCAGTCGATGAACTATTGACCTTTGTGCGAGGCGCAACCTATTGCCTATTTGTATCATCTATAACGCCTTGTATTTGGGGCATATCCCGGAGAAGACTCTTATAAAAGACAAAATCAATACTTGTAATATATTGTAGCATGATATTCAGTGTCATGTCACATAAAATTCACTCATAAAATATTCAATGGTCAATCACCCATGGCGTCAGCATAGCTCTCATGCTAAGGGAGTGTTGATGTCAGCGGAATAGGCATAAATCCAAACTCTCCGTAAAACGGGGTCACATTCCTATGTTTGTTCATGTCATGCTAATTAGATGTATCACGTGATGGAAAACAATTGATAACTATGTTTAAATTACAATTTCGCTTTCAATCTTGGCAATAAAAATAAATAAATAATAATAATAATGTCAATCAGTAAAGGAAAATCATAGTAGGAAAAAGAAAAACTTATTATATGTGTGATCGACAATCCCAATGAGACTGGAATTATGACTGAGTAATCTACGCTACGTGTGTGTTATACATTATTCCGGTATAAGCCGTGTATGACCACCACTATTTCACTGACAAACAAGGAACTGACCACGAGATAATGACAACATTTACAACACAAGAAAAGCGCTGGAATTTAAGACAAAGTCCAACCAATGTGTGGTTCCTATTTTGCATACTTCGAGGCATTGTGTTCTTGTTGTTGGTAATTCTGTTGAACATATTCGATTCACTGGTCGCAAATTGACCCTTACTATTATAGCGAATGCTAAATATTCGTAGATTTCTCACAAAGTGGTGTGTACATTTTCTAGAATATTCACATCATCGGGGAATGGAACTTCCCGAGACAGGTTCCATGCAAAATTCTCAAAATTTATCATGGCACGATGTATTTTTACAGATAAGTCACGGATATTGCATCCATCACGCATGAAGTAAACTTGCATACCACACAGTAGGAAGTTAAGATGGTCTGTCATATAGTTATTGTGTAACAGTGGACTGCATAGATTATAAAGTCTGCCAGTATTTGGTAATTGAAGGACTGGTCGTCCTTATCTTGTCTCAAATAGCTCATGACGCATGAAACACAACAATTATGCAGAGTAATTTTATAATCTATTCACGCATTCTCTACAATAAATTGTCCAGCAATTCTCTTAGCAAGGGATCACGAGGTCACACGTCAACCCAACTGCATCGCCACAGAAACTCTGAGTCACAGAATCAGGGAATGCGAGTTTTTTTAATAATATATCAGACAGACCATTCACAGAATGATGATTGAAACTTGTATCACTGGTGGTTCACAACTATCTTCAATCTAGCATATTTATAGAGCATACATGACGCAGTTTCAGGTACACCACCTGGGTTTTCACAGGAGCCAATCAGAATGTGGTTTTGCTAGCAGCTGTCTCACGATGATATGCAGGCAGCATCCTTATCGTAAACATCGTTTGTTATGTAAATCTCAAGCACACCTGGTAGATTCCAATTGTCCTTCCAGAGTTGTAAACAAGTATGACCTGTATGATTCGTGGTACATCGTGGCCATTCCAGGATGTAAACTCGTTCTTACAAATAAATAAATACAACATTAGTATATTAGGCCCATTTTATATAACATTTCAATCGTGTGCATGCGACGCAAAACTTAATATATTGCCAAATATTTTGATTTTAATTATTTCCATGAGATAGCAAATTTAGTATTTTTTGGCAAATTTTTAATTCATTATCAGTATCAGTGTGTTTAAATTTCCACGAATTAACATTTTGGCATTTTACGTCTGTCAAATAACGGCCAAATAAATACGTGGAATCATTAATTACTAAGGACCTGGCGTATAATTGGAAATTACTCCAAATAAACAAATGTCCAATTCGGGAACTGGAATAAAAGTATATTTGGTTATTAATGAAATAGTAGGGTGCCACCAGACGGTCTGGCTTAGCAAGTGCGTTGTGTTTCTCTCAGGAAGTTGACGCTGATTTTACACAAAGGAAGCCGCTCATCCCGCCATTGGATGGCGGCACATGGTGTATGTGGTGTTTACAAAGGACGTGCAGATGATCCGTGGTTCATCGTGACCAATAATAAAATGATTGGTTGTCCAACTGTGGGCGTGTCTTTTATTTCTGTGTTGTGCAACACCAAAGTCCCGCCATTTATTTCTCATGATTGTTCAACCATAGTCGTCTGCACTAGTATTGAGAGTTCTAAGTTTGGTTTACTCAGTGTTTACTATGTTGGTAAAACCGCGCAAATTCATTTTACCCCCACTTTACAGCGGTTTTCACACAGACACCAGTTAATTCCGTTACCCAATGGCTGAAGCAATTTCACATCGACCAGACACGCGGCACACGCCCCAAAACAGACGACGAGATTTGACAGGATCGGCCAATGCGCACGCGTATAAAACAGCTGGTACTAATATCCTAATATCCTAATAACTTATTTTGCACTCGTACAATGCAAAATACATATTTGATTAGGTTGGTTGGCCACCAAGTACCATCCTATGGCACCCAATTCATATATCACCAATACCATAGTACAGAGTTATGTTAACAGCGAGTCACAAATAAATTTGTATTTAATTAATTGTAAGAATGAGATTACATTGTGAAATGGCCATGATGTACCACGGATCCCTGTATGCACACCGTTTCTTCCCGTTTTAGGTAATATAATAAAAAAAAACATAGATTAATGCCGACATTTACGTAAACATTCCGTGCCATTACCACTTAACATAAGATGGTCAGTTTGCCTTGTTTTCGCGTTTCATCGGATCGGTGCATTGAAAGTGAAGAAACAGCCACAATATTGCTTACTGTACGTAGAGGTAACTGGATTCGTGTCACGTAACTGCACAAATACAAGCGCATGCGTAGATGTACCTGTATGATATGCGAAACAGCAACCACGTAAGATGTACTACATGTCACGCGTGGTGAACGTGCTTTGAACGTCCGGACCCGCACATACTCATCACCCCGCCCCCAAATGATCTCGTGTTCCCCTATTCTTTTCAGAAAAATCTCAAGAAATGAACGAAACTGTAAATTCTTTATTGCAAACAGTATTATTTGCGTTGGAGTTGGATATTATTTCGCATTTATTCGTTTTTATTACAATGAGACAATAGGTAACATGTGCTCAGACTGTTTGTAAATCCTTTTTGGACCGTAGACAATCCTTGTATATTCAAACCATGCATAGATGTGGTAATACAAGATAATCTGCCGTTTCTCATAAACTGGAATATAACAAAATCTAAGTCGACGGCTCATTGACATTTCGCCGCCATTTTTACCGCTAACATGATTCAATATTTTTACATACATTTTTTCAATATCTTTTTTGGTTACTATTGGTTACAATTCTTGGGGCATTTTTGTTTTTAAATTATACAAATTTATTTGATGAAACGTGTTAATTTATTACAGCTTGCGTCTGTCAAGATACTAAACTGTTATACACCGATGCACTGAATGCGGCGTTATATTTCCAATCTAAGCTGTGGTCATTCAGTTACGACGACGACGGGTTGTACCAGCGACTTCAGGCGGAACAGACAGTCGAAAGGAACGTGCTGCATGACGGGGTGTCTGAGATTAAAATTACTCTGGCCTACGACTTTGAAGACGAGTTCGTATTTTGGCCTGACATAATACGACGTACAATTAATAAGATGTCTTTAAAGAGTGGAGAAGTAAGCGTTCTGTTTGAGGGCATCTCGGATGGAGTGGCGGGGATAGAGGTCGATTGGGTGGCTAATAACGTATACTGGTCCGATGCCGACTATAACTGGATCATGATGTGCGATTACAATGGAACCTACCATCACACGTTGTTGAAGACAGGAATAGTGGAGCCTGGTGACATAGCTGTGGATGCCGTCAATGGGTCAGTGCACTGAACAACTTTTTACTACGTTCCCCGTCATAATGGCTGAAACACAACAAACCTATATCTTCAATTGCTATGAATATTTATAAATTTTGTAATTCACAATGAAAAAGTGGTTTGTATCGGCAAACGGAATACATTGGAACATTTTGAAATAACGTAAATAAAAAGTCATAATTCTCGGTATCATTTAGATTTATTGATATTTTAGGACTGCTAGTAGTATACGATATATTTGATGACATAATTATACGCGCATTGTGACCCATAGTATTGAAAAACGAGCGAATCCTGAAATATTTTCTACAATTGACCTTATTCGTGAATGGCCGCCGAGATCTCGTTGAGAACGAGAAAGCCACGCGATTTGTTTATGCCCCCTCCCCAATAGTGTTTCATTCTCAACCGCCATCGCGCCCACTGTTTCAAACACTATGGTTACATACGTCGGGGGGGGGGCAGTGGACGCGATGACGGGAACAAATAAAACACTATTTTAGGGGAGCCCAGTCTCGTGATTCTCTCGCTCCCAACGAGATTTCGTCGATGCTTGATAAATAAATCAACAAATGAGTAGGATTACATCATAGACCCTATAATAATAATGTTGACATTCAAGATGAGTTCATCATTCAGTCGACGCTTCAAACATCGTACTCACCTGCCCGACATTCGGGCTCGAACATGAATACATCGATCCTTTAATTTTCACTTGATGTTGACCTCCTCAACGACATGGCCATCTTTACGTTCGATGATGTTACGTCATTATACTGTCTGACCACGTGATGTAACTCTATTATGTGTACTACTTGAATCAACAGGATGCTGTACTGGGCCGATATGAATTCAGACGATCCTAGGATCGAGTCGTCTACATTATCCGGCGAGAACAGAACAACAATTATTGCCAAAAACAACTATTTGGTATATCCGCACGGTTTAACTCTAGATCATTGGCAGAAAAGGTAAAGCTAAACTAATATTTAATATATATTGTTTGTATATTAAGGAGTTCCGAACTGGACTGGTGACTATATATATACATGTAAACTTCTTCGTGCTTTTGCAAATGAAAACTTTGAGGCAATTTTTAAGGAAAAAAGAGTCCGCAATATCATAAAAACGGCAAAACTGTCCATTGTTACAATTAGTTTCTATAGTGAAATAACTTGTTCGATGGCATGGAATGACGTTATATATTATAACTTACTTAGTATATAAATCCCCAATACTGTACAAACATTAAACAAATAATAGTGTAGTACTTTAGTGCAAATAGTTGTCCGTTACATACATGTTCTCCCACAATGTATTGCTCAGTAATGTGAAGTTGATTGCAATTATCAAATAGTATTATTCGAGAATAAACTCATATATATTTGAGATTAACTATTCAGTAAACCAACCCAAGTAAGTGTAATATGTTTACTACATATCTATGCTATTGCAGGATATTCTACACCGATCTATGGTTGGAAGGACTTTTTTCTGTCAGCGTAACTGGTAACGTTTCAGACATCCGTGTTGAGTATGTAGATGGCGGTTTATATTATCCATATTATGTCGATTTAAGCAAGGTATAGTGGCTATTATTGAAATGTTATGTCAATAAAGGTATGATAACTAGCAGCTCCATGTGCATACAACTTACATAACCAATCTGGCGTTCAAGATCGAACTGAGTTTATAACTGTTGGCACACATCCTACTTGAAGATGTACATTCCATGGAAAAGACAGGATAATTATGGAAAATAGCATGACCCCTCCCCCGCCCTCATGTGTTGAAAGCATAACTTTTATCTTTGGTCTTTTATCAATTCTTTCATTAGGACTATTTTTTTATTAGCGAATTTCACTACCAAGAAATCGTCGTTGTACCAAGGAATAATTCTTCGGTGGAATCAGCTTTGATATACCCATTAGGTGACGCGATTCCCCTTGGCATCAGTTACTTCGACAGTGCCCGTCAACCAACTACATCCAGTAAGTCTTTCTTCATTAAATAAAACGTTGTATTATATACGGTGTTTTTTGGGAGGTCTAGTTACTACTAGTAGTTTGCTAGCTAGTCGTCGCTAGAGGGCGCGTCTAGTAAATCGCGTACTTGTTCTGCATGCGACTGTCTACCCACAATCCTCGGGGGCGGACATCCGGGCATTTTCACCGCCTGGCAACCCGCGGCGGTGAAAACAAGGCCCAAAACTCGCAGAAAACGGTACTTTGGGATAACTGTTGAGACTCCTCTGAACAGTGCAACAAGATTAGCCCTACGTGTGTAACATATATAAATTTGGTTGTTCGTGATTACTTCAAAGTTGAGTTTGTGTTGTTTTCTCGAATTTTCACCGGCTCGACCGGCGTTCCACAGCAGCGCGCACAGAGCCCATAGAAATGCATGTACAGTGGTGCGCGTCTTAGCAACGTGGAACATCTGCTCCGCCCCCGAGGATAGCGCCCACTACAGCTGCGTATTAGTGGTTTTGATTTTTTTCATCATAACGAACACTGGTGTGTGTTCTGTAAACGCTACATTTTTTGTTCATGATAAATCATAATTCGATTTGGTCTACAGTATTAACAAAACTATTAACAATTTTGTTAATATTGTGACTTCACTGGATTACGACAATGTTGCATATTTTAAAATTTGCAACGACTGATATTAAGGCGGTACTAGATAGTTCTTAGTTATTTTATAAAATAACACCGGCAATATTCGTCTAGACCTTTAGCCAATAGTAAATTATGTCTAATTGGTCAAAAAGTATCGAAATACATGTATACGAGTCCAAGTTACTAGAAAGCGAAGAAAGCTCCGCATAGCTCCCGTGTGAATACCCAATATAAGTAATCATAATGGTTTCATAACAATATTCGGGAGAATCAAACCAACGAAAATCAAAATAACAGTCAGAGTAGGTGATACGGGCATGGTCCTAAAGGGCAATGATCTCTGAATCTCGCGCCAATGGTAAAAAGAAGCATTTAAGGCCATGTTTACACAGGATGCAATAATAAAAATAATATGCTAAATAAATACTTAACATGACCCCAACGTAACTAGGGGTCAAATATGATCAATATTCACTCAAAAGCTTTTAAGAATACACGCATGCTGAAATGAAATAATTAATACTTACTATGTACGTAAATGTACGTGTGCGCAGGCTACACTTCGAGGCGACCAAGTGGACAACTGGGTGGCGCTCATGGATACTTTGAAGGACGCGGACCTCGCACTGACGAAACAAATGACACAGATTAACAGCGACATTACCCAGCGTCTTGAAGACTTGGAGGCAAACTCCAAATTTGGAGCCCGAAACCTAGAACGAGGAAGAGTTAGCGCCACCAACATGCATACATCAATAGGAGTGCCCCCCCCCCCCTACCGAATTCCTGGATCCGTCAATAATTACATGCATATCCCTGTTTTACTTAAGTCTGGCCCACCGGTGTGAGTGTGGAGGCTGTTATATCGAACAGGATTTGATCACGACTCAACGCTGGCCTATGGTCACCTGCAGGGCTTTTAGATCACAGGACGTTCGTTCTAACAATTGAAACAGAGCCGCATGTACGCGTTAGAACTATCAAGGTTGTAGAAGTTGACAAGGCAACGCAGGCCATCGAGACGCGACAATATCAGGAAGAAGCTATAAGTTTTACTTATTGCACCAGCTGAAAAAGGAAAATTAATATGCAAATTATTCACTTAATATGCACATGCACGGCCCTTGTGTTCTTCGCACACATGTGAGCTAAAATGCACGATGAGCGCATATTTCATTAACAAATTGACAAGACGATGTATGACAACCAACGGGTTAATCTATTCGTATAATATTTAGTGTCTGTTTACAGTTATCTGATCAATGTAAAAGTTCATAGACTGGCAGGATAAGGGTTATATAATAGTCACATGTACAATCGGTTGATGTATATTCTTTCTTCTTCAGATCCATGCTCAGAAAACAATGGTGGGTGCGACCAGTTGTGTGTGAGCGCCACGGACAATACTCACCAATGTCTATGTACATATGGGTATATCAAACAGGAAGATGTGACGTCCCAATGTTACAAAGGTAGTAATAATACGTTGTGCCTATTTGTTTACAACATGGAATGATCATAGCCGAATCAGTTGATTGTGGTGTCTGCGTTATTTAAGATCAGTCCACAGTCAGCTGGTGTACAAGTGATAATCAAATAAATGCGATTAATCCGCAGATAGATAATTACTATTTAGGGCAGCCATTAAAGTCCTCGGACAATTAGTGAAAACCGAAATAAATGTGACTAGAGGAAATGGATCACGATAGTAAATATAACATTTAGTAGTACATGTATAGTTAAAGCGGGAGAGTCGTCACCTACGCATGCGCCAGATGGCCATAGCGTGTCATTGCTTACAAACAAGCTTACATATGCCTTTGCGTTCATAGCGTGAGTTGTTATCATCGCTTGGGACTCAATTATATATAACACCCTGTTTTGGTCATGCGCTTAATCGACATGGTTTGTCGAGAAGCTTTAGATTGGATTGGAACTTTTCCCCTTACTTTATTCTTATTCTTATTCTTCTATATTCATAACTAACCAAAGGAGAGGAAACACATTAAAACCAATGCTTTCTGAACACCGTGACGTCAAATATATTTTCAACAATTCAAGCATAATATAAATAGTGTCCTAAAACTATATTTTTTATAACTTTGTATTTAATCACGGTATACAGGGTGGTAAAGTCGAAATGGGACATTTTATGCTAGCGTTAATTTATATGTTGCAGATGACCATTTGATTCCGGGACACAAGATCATACTGGCAAACGAAACAAGCATATGTGTTGCACCCTCGCACCTTGGCGATCTGTCCGATTTGTCCGAAGCGCTGCGGTGTGTTTTTGATGTCGACGTGACGTCACTGGATTTCGACCACGCTCAGGAAACGCTGTATGTGTATCAGCCATCAGAGAATGCAATAACACGTGCCAGACTTCGCGAGGGTGAAAGCTTTGAGACTATAGTGTCCGAGGCAGGACGCGTGACAGGTAAGTGAAGAGGGTTCCTTGCCAGTTATAAAATCGGATAGATTTGTTTTGCCGGAGCATTTAGAAAGTTTCTAACATTTTTCATATTATTATGCTATTGTAAACACATGTAGCGAAAGTCAGCCCTCGCCGCCTTTTGTAGCGAATTTCACTTCCCAATAGTACATACGTCTTCGACCCCTCGCCTGGATGTTCGTGATTTATGATACAAATTGCAACCGAAAAAAAGAGTTGTCATCATTGGCTGTCCAGTTTTTATCTTTCAAATACTAACCTATCACAACACACGTTGCTTCTTGTGATGACATCCCATAATTCTAGCTGTGGGCTTATTGCGTGGTGAAACTAGTGCCACTCTGATTACAATATAGTGAACCCATTTAATAATTGTTAATATAGATCTAGCGGTGGACTGGGTCTCAGATAATTTATACTGGACACGTGGAAAAATAGGAGAAGTGAGTGGAGCCATATTCGTATCAAGACTAGATGGTTTAAAAGCTGGTATGTTATTGAATTCTGGAATCGATGACCCACAAGCTATTGTGTTAGATCCGTTACAAGAGTGAGTTGAACATGATGCGTAATGTAATGCAATGTAATGTAATGTAACGTAACGTGATGTGAGTAACGCGATGTAGTGTAACGTAACGTAACGTAACGCAGTGTGATGTAATGTAATACAATGTAACGTGACGTAACGTGGTGTGGTGTAATGTAATGTAATGTGATGTTAGTAACGTAATGTAACGTGATGTACTGTAATGTAATAACATGTCATGTCATGGTCGAATTTATCTCGAGACATAAACAATTATTTACTGTAAGCACGTAACTATATGTTTTTACGCATAATAATCATGTACGCATTTTGTATATTTATTACGTATTAACAGCCAATATTAAACCAGTATGAGATGTACCTTCTTTTGGTGTGTATCGCGCATTTGCGTGTACAAATGAAATGTATATTAGTTGTGTGTTGGCATTATGTTTGACCTTGAATTAAATTTCGAATTTCGAAAAATAGTAAAAAAAATGATCAGTTTAAGTCTCCAAGTATGTTTCATGGCCGCACGTATCGATTTAATGTTCCCGTTGTTCTTTAAAGATATCTTATCTGGGCCGACAGTGGCGAATCAGCTCGCATACAGCGTACCAGTTTGTCCGGAAGAGACAGAGTGACGTTGGTCGACACTGATATAATCACGCCCGTTGCTATGACGATAGACTATCAAATGAACAGGTTAGTCTTTAATCGATCCAAACAAAAATGACGATTCTCAGTTGAACCTCTGAGCGCCATCACTTTCCCGCCAAAATTTTTGTACAATATTTTGCTTGTTTTTTTATGTATTTCTTCGCGATTTCGTTGTTTTTGGACAAAATAGACATACACTCACAGGTCTTGATCAAAATCTATGAAAAGTTATGTAAGCAGTTTGTTGGTTCATTTTGTGAAATGAAAAAAACAAAAAAAATATTTAGTTAAAAAATCTTAAATTTAAAAAAAAAAACATGATGAAGGAAACTGCTTTATAAACTGTTACGTTGTTTTATTTTTTCTCCAAAGAATTGTCTGGGCAGACAATGGAAAGTATACCATTGAATCTATCGGAATCGACGGCCAGGCGCGACTTTTGCTAGATGAAAGTACGCATCGACGAACGTTCAATGGAATCGCTAACAATCAGGTGAGTTTCCCGCTCTATATTCTGTAATTGTATTAATAAGAACACGTTTGGCCTTCCATCTAAGTTTTGAGTTGTCTGTAGTTTTCTTCATTTCATTTTCCAATCACATGATCGAAGTGTCCCGTAAATTCAGTAATACCAAGCAACACGTCTTTACTAACGCTAAAAGATTTGAATTGTGTTTACAGGATATCATTGCGTGGATACAAGTAGAAGAAAATTCGGTAGTTTTTTTCAACCATGACCTTCAAAGGCAAAAGAATGTTTTACATACATCGGGCGAACCTAAAGCGATATCGATATACGATGACCGACTTCAACCAACAAATCAAGGTAAGCAGTGCGCATGCGTATAGAGTGAGTCGATTTGATAGTTGACGTGTTTTTTTTTTTTTTACGTCTTGTAAAATTAGGTAACTGAACAAATGTAATGATACGAGTTGTTTCAAACTGGTGATCATAAATGATTAAAATACTAGTTAATTCAAAACAAACCGGTTATTGAAATCACCTACAGACCAGCTTTGATGTGATATTTGAACATTTATTAAACAAACGGACAATCTAATGAATAATCTGATGTCATAATAGGGTCTATTGCGTTTTTGCCGATTAAACATCGACATTTCCAAATAATTGTTATGATAGCGACTTCGCGTTCAGCTGTCGCCGATTCTTTGTAGTTTAAAGTTCAGTGGCGGAGTAAACATGCGATCAGCCAATCGCTGCAGTCGTTGGCGCGATCACGTGATTACCAGGGATGTGTCTCCCGGTTAAAGCCTTGCAAAGTTGCCACTACCAAATACAATAAGTAAACAATCTATTTATCAAATTCCTGTAATATATGTTTATATTCTCAACCCTAAACATGCAAGTTGTTGATTCTAACCACAGTCCCTCTACGTTAACGTCTTAATTGCTTTAGTTTCCCTAATTCTGTGTTACAGACACGAACCCATGTGCCATCAGCCAGGCTTGTCAACCCGGTCAACTTTGTATACCATTTCGCGGTGTCGCCGACTGTGTGTGTGATTTGAGCAATAGCAGCTGTGTTCCAGGTGAGAAAAAGACAATTTCACAGTGTGATTTGATGCAATGACTAAACTGTATTTTTTGTATTTATTGAAATGTATAGATTCATCCACGTATGGTTCATTTCGCATATACGTGAACAGAAAAACCTCACTCAAATTTGCATATACTTATTTTTTAGCCGAGATGTGTCCATTGAGCATTCCTTATGGGTCGCTCACTCGTACTTGTACAGGCGTGGTTGGAACAACATGTCAGTTCACCTGCCTCGGATTATTCAATCCAACGACCAGCGACCCTATAACGTGTGTGGAAGGGGGCATTTGGGACAAGGATGTTGACGATCTTTGTGCACTCAGTAAGTGTTTAAATGGTTCAAAAGACAATAGCCTCTTCTCTATTTTCTTTTGTGAATCTGGATCACGCAGTTCCGATGAGTCGCGCCCTCTGCGGTGACAAAGGCGTCGATGTGGCATACTATCCACATAAATAATCGTTTGCTTGTAGTGTGTATTCATTCGTCATTAAGAATGTGGTAAATCTCTAAAGACAAAGTTTTTTTTTTATATTTTCATGGAAGATCACCAATCAACGACGATGTGAACGTCCTTACACATTTAGGTCACACAAAACGTCAGCGCCCGAGGGCGTGATTTATCAAACATATCGCTTGGTGACTTTAAACATCGTAAAGCTGTGATATTTTCAGATCGGTCGTTTTATGAACAAAACAAAGGGTGTGCCAAGCCTACCGATCGAATAGGACAATATACTAACAGATGTTTTTTATCGTTTAATGAATATCGCAAGATATCACATTGGAGAACTTCATGCTAGTGACGTCAAATGACGGGATATACTACGTGGATATGACGTCATCAGATTATAGATATGGTCTTTTAGATATACCGAGTATATTATACTGTATGAGCTTCGATTTCGACTTTGAAGACGAAGTACTTTACTGGACAGATGCCTACCTGGAGGTGATCGGCACAACGAAATTAGACGGAAGTAATGTCGATATTATTGTACAGACGGACATAATATGTAAGTTTCATTTATACCACGTGTGTTGGTGGTAGTGTGAGATGGTCTGCGTCAGCTTATCTTCTACTATCAGGCTCATAGTACATGCGCACTGAGAAAATGTCATCTTTGGACGTTTTTCAATGTGACCGATATTTCATGTGTTTTTGGTGAACACATTTGATATGCGAATAAACTGTGTAATATACAAGGTGGATTTACGCCCCCGTTAACTGTGGATGATGCCATTTTATTCAAGGTACAGTTAAGGATACGTAATAAGCCGTATCTTTTTAGAGTTCAGTGTTTATATATGTTGAATTGAAGAGTAGCCAAAATAAAAGATGTTAACATTGTCCATCTGACTACATGATACCGGCCAGTAATCGTATTGCTTTGGTAAGTTGATTTTAGTATACAATGGCAACAGAATTCACGACTGGGTTCTCATCTCTCCGTGTTTAGACCCAGATGGTATTGAAGTGGATAGCAAGCGTCGTAAAATATATTGGGTGGATTCCGAAAAGGACCAAATACAAGTGATTGACATGAACGGAAATAACAGGGAAATACTTGTAGGGTTTGACTTGTTCGAGCCGAGGTCTTTAGTACATGGAAGACGCGACAGGTGAGTTAAAACTCTGAATTCACATCGCAGTTAACTTTGCGTCAGATGCGTCAGTCTAATTTACAAATCACTAGAATATCCAATTGGCAACCACCTGTTAATATAACATTGGTGGATTTTAGTGTCACGTGACAGCTTTGTTACGAGTACGTCGCCAAATCCACCATGTTGTTCACATTGATGACGTAGAGTCTCGTACTCTTCAACACTACGAACGACCTGTCGACAACTCTTTGTACAATAAGCGAGACGCGCAGTTATTGGCGCTGTCTGTCGCTAACCGATAAAAAGAATCGCCTGGAGGAAGAAAAATGTATTAATTTATCAAAAATCACATTTTTTCTCCTGCAGAACACTTTATTGGACAGATTGGGGAGAAGATCAACAGAAAATCGAGAGAGTGAACATTGATGGTTCAGATAGGAGGACGCTGGCTTCTGAAAATATGACACATCCAATGGGCCTTGTATTGGACGAATTGGGTATGTGTGTCGGCATGATCAGTAATACTCGAGTGAAGCAACTCCCATTTATTCCGCTGATAATGTCTAAAAAAAGTGAAACAGCAGCAACATTTACATAACTTGCATTTGCGTAATTGTTTCAAAACCATACCCCTTATTAAATGCTCAAGTCAATGTTTTCTTTTTCTTTTTTTAAATATTTTTTGTGACAGGCGACAGTTCAGGACATTGAATGTCACTGTTGTCTTTCTTGATTTTTTTTTTGTATGTGCAAATTGCAAGTGCTGGTGCTGGTGCTGACACATAGTGCATCTTTGCCACAGAAGTCATATTCATGTTTGGGACTACATGACAGGGATGTGCGGCCATCTTCCTATCCTGGCGTCAACCAGGTTCGGTCGAACACAAGCTCCTGCGGACCTTCCCCCAAAGTCGCATTCGTTAGTGAATGAATCCCGGCCCGTGGAGTTGGCCTTCCCATTGAGTCTGTGGCACCCAGGGTAGGGGTCGACCTTTTTGATGTTCAGCCTGAAGTAGGATTTGAACTTGGGTCTAGCGATCATGAGTCTGATGCGACAACCACTATGCTGTCAGTGACCGGTACAAGTCAATGTAAAAGTACATGCGGCTGACAGGATAAGGGTTGAGGGCGACATTCGTCATGTGCGCATGTGCGGTAAAATACTATAATGGCGGGTTCACAAAACGCAGGTTACATGTTAAGGTTGCTGGTGATTTAGTGACGCGGGACCCATTGGTTTGGTCAACCCTAGTTTATCTATCTTAATTACTCATTACCATTCCAAATCAAGGGAGTTCGGCAAACGTTTTAGATTGGTTACGATGGGAATTATATTGAATGAAAGAAAGAATAAACATTTATTATTAATATTAATATTATTATTATTATTATTATTATTATTATTATTATTATTATTATTATTATTATTATTATTATTATTATTATTATTATTATTATTATTATTATTATTATTATTATATCTAGCCGACCGTGAAAACCAGTGCCAATATAATAGAGTAAATAACAGGCACACTTCATAAACATTTAATTAAAGTTATTATTATTCCAGTACATCATCAACATTTAAAAAGTATTATGATCCCCGCGGCTGATCTGATCTTTTTGCCTATCGCCCTTAGAGTTACCTGTAACCTTACGTTCGAAACAAAATGGCGGCAAACAATACGATTATGAGTTTTTACCATAGTAAAATTAAGAGTGTCCATGTTGGTATCAAATTCGGTCATTTGTTTACTAGTTATCATGCCACCACGAAAAGGTTGGTGTAATCTGAGACAATTCTGTGAAAAACCTATTCCTTGTCCTCTAAAGCCTAGATCGACAATTCTTCAACTTCTTTACTCCTAAGCTGTGTTCAAATCTACTATCCAGTGTGTGAGGCGTAAATTCGTTTAAATTGTACATTTAAGGTACCTTCATTATTACGTTTCAGAAAATAAACTTTACTGGTGCGATGCATCGCGTGACGTCTTGCAGGTAATGAATCTGGACGGCAGTAACCGACGAGAGATCTACGCATTTCCAGCCGAGACAGCTTGTTTTGGTTTGGAGCTTACCGAAGACTATTTCTACTGGTCTGATTACAACAACGGCTACCTGCACAGAATCAACCGACATTCGTTGCAGGACGAAACGTTCCTTCCAGACCTTGTCATCGAACAACCCACCGAGATAAAGATTTACAAACGTCCACCAGGTAGGAATCGTGACAGCTGTCTGTTTTGAACTGTGATTTGTAAATTGAACGTCATAACAAAAAAAAACTTGCGTGCAGCCTTTCTAGATTGGAATATAACCATACTAGTAGATCTTTCATGTGAGTGGCGCCCCAACATCGAATTTGAATCATGTTTGAAGGGACAATTAATTTGTTGGTAGTCGTTCGTTATTTAGAACAGAGTTCATCTCTCTAGATATGACAGCTTTTCAAATATGTGGTTTGGAAATTTATGATATACACTTGATTTTTTGCCTAAAAAACTGTTTTTGGTCACAATTTATGAGAAATTAGACGTAACACTGTATCTACTAACCGGTGTCACTTGCACCACATTCTGTTCAAAAAGAAAAAAAAAATCAAGATAAGTTTATACTAGCCATCGATATTCGATATTCTGTTGTTTTGCATTTTCATTTATTATGTTTTCTGTTCATTCCTTTTATTCTGTTTAAGATACAAAAAAACAATATCCGACACCGTTCGAATTTAAGATGACGGATAATTTGACAAATTCGGACAAAATGTACTAGTATTTGCTATAATTAGAATAATCACAATATATGTTTCAGAATGCAATGTACTATTAAAACGGTACTAACACCTAAGTTGACCTCATTTTGTTGCAACCCTTATTACTTATGTAAAACATTCAGCTATGTCGACAAAGTCCTACAAATTTACAATGTTCAATAAAAGAAGTACTCTCGATCCCGCGGTTTTGAGCGTGTACCGCTGAAAATATCGACCTTAAACTTTCAGTGCATACTTACATTGATAACTATTGTTCAAAAACTAAAACAATGAGTTGTTAACGAAAAATGCCTAAGACAGGTGCATCTCGTCTTTAAGTTTGTTTACGCCAACGAAGAAAGACCATGTTATACATATTTAAAAAGCTGGCTAAATCACTGTCTGAAATACCTACTGATCAGAAATCGGTATAATCCTATATGTTGCATAAAATCTTTCTTATTATTACGAGAATCATATGCAACTAGAAAAATCTGGAGAGAAAAAAAAAACTTCTAAACATTTTCATTGATCATTCCTTACTTCGTGTAAAATACAGCAATGACCATCAGACCACGCAGTTGTAGAGAATACTAACAAACTCCCAATAGTTTACGCCTTCATTGTGAATTGTTTTGTCATTGCAGCTTCCTCGCCTGATAAAGAACCTCGTCTTTTGTATACTGACTTTCAGTTTACAGTCGCCTCGATCCAATCCAATGTTATTTCACTCGATCACAACGCAAAGCAGATTTACAATATGCTGCAAGATGAAACTGTTCTTGATCAAACCACCTTGCACACCTCCCCGATGGCATTCAACACGGCCCTTACGTATGACTTTGACGACAGCTTGGTGTTCTGGATTAATCAGGCGTTGGGTGTCGTTTACAAGATGTCACTTATTACGTCCAACGTTACTATAATATCCGACGTTGTGTCTCAGGACGTCAGTGGAATAGCTGTTGACTGGGTAGCCAATAAATTGTACTGGTCCGATGCTGATTACAATTGGATTGTCATGTGTGACTATGATGGTAATTTTGTGCACACTGTATTAAAAACTGGGTTTATGCGACCGCTTGACTTGGCTGTCGATCCTGTAAACGGGTGAGTGTTTTTACTATATAATTCACTATTGCTGAACCGTTTTCCTATTACCAATGGGTTTACCAACGGGTATTATTGAACTAAATTATGCAATTGAATCTGAAATCAGCGAAATTGTGTGTTTGCTATACTAAATTCTGTATTGAAACAGAATTTAGTCATGCTCTGTGTCTAGGGCGTTCTGCTTCGAATTTTTGGCACAGCGATAAAGAGCAAAATCACACCATGCAGTGCACTAACTGTACTAACTGGCCCGAGTGCATGTTCAAAGTCGTTGAGTCGAATGGTTTGTTTATTTCTTGAAATATGTTACATTTGTATTTTTGTTGTGGTATCGGTTTGTAATGACGTATTCATCACATAATTTCTGTACTTAGTAAGCTATACTGGGCCGACAGCAGTCAATACTCTAACAGAATAGATTCCTCAAGCCTAGCTGGTGAAGATGTACTTACAGTTGCAGGAGGAACTGAAGACTTTGGTTGGCCACATGGACTTACAATCGACTTCGACAATAATAGGTATGGGCCCATCCGCAGCACAATATTTAACGCTCGTGCTACTGACTGAGAAATCAAGTTGTGGTTGAATTACGTACATTAAGGAAAGCTCTCAATATTTTTCATGTTATGACTTTATTTTTCTATTTTTCGCTCGATATAATGATATTCTGTGACAAGAGCTATGTTGTCTGGCCTTAGAATCCCGGGTGACACGTGGCTGGAGGAGTACGCATGCAGCTGTACGCATGGCATTTGCGGAGAAAAAAAAAGTTTACTTTAAGTTCGCAAGTCTTCGAAAACCAAAAACAGGGGTGCTATTTAAAGACTGACAGCTAGTCACTGGTTAAGCAGGAGGCAGGTGGACAAGACAACAAGGAAGTGTGTTGGCAGTGGAAGACCCCGTCTGTGAATTAAACACACATCAAATGCACAGAGGTGTTCGAACAGAGCGACCAAGTGTAGTGCCTATGCAAACAGCATATCTTTGTGATGCAACAGCGCCCTTTGTAGTTCACATGTACTTGTGCTAGAATCTGATATAGTAGTTCTACACTGCGCCACCTATAACGTCTAGTTGTTTCATTTCATACTCATCATCATTTTTTGACTAAAGTTTAGCTTGTTCAATAACAAAGTTGGTGTTCCTCAAAAAGCATTTTATCAAAAAGTGTTCCTCGGATTCGGAATATAAATTTGTTTGAGATGAGACTACACGCTTCTAGTCTGGACTGCATACTTGTTTGATATACACAGTGAGGGGGATTATGTTGGCACGAGAGGAAGCCATCAGATCTGGATGCAACGTATCGAAGCCAGTCGTCCATCATAGACTATCGTTGGAGCGATGAAATGATTTCAGCGATTTTTTTTTACTGCACCAGTGTAATCCTCACGGAAGCTTAAAAACATTACATAGAATATAATACATATAATAGCATTGCCAATACCAGCGAATTTTATGACGTCATTGCCACAGATTATTCGCGATAATGTATTGCATTATTAAGCATCAAGGTCCCGTACCATGCATAGGAATAGAATGTTGAGTTCGGAAAACAAATAAAGAGACGGGCATCAAAACTGAAAATGAATAACTCTGAGCTATATAAAAAAAATAATTATTTGTTCTTAGTTTACATGAAAAATGTCATTCCCGCCATAACGACAAACACAAATCGTCGTCTGGCCAATCCCAACTTTCACTGTAGTGGCACAACAAATAGTTCGACATCAGTAGTAAACAAATTGAACAATCATAGATGTACGCACATAGATGCGTGTTCTGAACAATCATGGTTCACATGGCTGACATATGGGTAAAATATGCCTATTTAATGTATATTAAAGCGGGGGGG